GTTCTGGATTATTCATAGATTGCTGACTTTCTGGATTGATTGTGCAAGCCCCTCCTTTTATTGATGTCCACCTTCTGTTGACAGACATCTACCCTGGGAAAGAAATGAGATGAAACTCTCTTTCTCTTCATTGTAAAAAGCATTTGAATTCCTAAGGTGTGATAAGGCCACCCAGCCATCCACAGTCAAGGTACACATTTTCATGGAGGATGTTCCCACTCTTGAATAAATTAAAACAATTTTTTTCTTTTAATTTAAACTTTCTTCTATAACTGTTTTCTTGTTACTTAAAAGCTAGTTTTTTTTTTTTTTGAAACTGCTTCCAGAGCTTTTCAAGCTGTATATGTCCTTGGAATGAATTTATAAATAAGAATTGAGCCCGGCGGGTGTGACTCAGTGGTTTAGCATCGAACTATGAACCAGGAATTCACAGTTTGATTCCAGGTCAGGCCACATGCCTGGGTTGTGGGCTTGATCCCCAGTACGGGGTGTGTAGGAGGCAGCCGATCAATGATTCTCTCTCATCATTGATGTTTCTATCTCTCTCCCTCTCCCTTCCTCTCTGAATCAGTAAGAATATATTTTAAAGAGAGCATATTTTAAAGAGAGAGAGAGAAGAGTGTATATGTTTGTAAATAAGAAAACATGTATTTGATGCTCTTAGAAAGTCTTATTTTCTTTCATTAAAGCTTGTGCAGTATAGGGAACTCCATAGATTTTCTCAATTTGAAGAAAGTTAGAGGGAAAGGTACTAATTCAGAGTTCCTTGGGAAAATGTATCACTTACATATTTTTTAATGTTTTTTTTAAATCAAAAACTGAAATATTTTCTATTCAGAAAATATATTTGGGTCTAAAATCTTCTATAATTTTAACCCTAAAATATCAATTTAAATATTTTAAAAATGGTTGGGATGTTTGTTTTTTTAAATAAGTTAGGTTACTGGAGTTCTACATGTTACTGGATCACCTGGGGTAATTTTCTGATTGAAAAATTAAGAATTATAGTCAGAGGGAAGGACATTAGAATTTTAAAAGAACATATTCAATTTACTTTAGAAGCCAAACCTCTCTTATCATGTGACTTGTTTTGTATGTCTGTTAAACTATATTATCACATAATCATTGCTGCTATTGGGAGAAATAGTGACAGTTGATTCAGGTCATTTGAATGTCCACTGTCTGTTTTAATTTGTATGTTCGTTTTGACTCTGTCATATGCTTAATCTTCAGTGGGAGTCATGAGAACCTATTATTTTTGCCTGCTCCCTCCTTTACGTTGGAAATATTCTTTTTACCCAGAGGGACCTTAACTTTGATGTAAGGGATTGTTTCCATTGCCAACTTTTTTCTTCCTTGCCAAGTAAGAGAGTTGTGAACTCTTCAGTGATGCCTTCCACAGGATATTTGCAGATGTGGTTGGGAAAAGTCATTTCATCCCCGACCTTTGCATGTCAGGTGCTGGGGTGCCCGGGTGCCACCTGGCCTGCGCCCTGGCTCTCCCGCCCTCCGATCGCCATGGCGATCACAGGGCGGCAGAGTTTCATTTTTTTTCAGAGAGGTATAAATTATTTAAGAATTAAAGCTATGTGCACATGGCCAAAAAAAAAAGAAAGAAAAAAAAAATCGGCTCCACCAGTCCCACCTTCCCACCCGTCCCGGCAGGGACTGACAGCAAAGCTCCTCTCCATCCCGAGCCCTCCAGCCCCGTGCAGACGGAGCCCCCCGGGCGAGAGCCGAGCAACATGGACCTGAGGGCTGTGCACCTGGAGCAACTGCAGAGGGAGAGGGGCAGGCAGGAGCAGCAAGCCAAGGAGGGCCCATGGGCCACGGGCCCGGGGCTGCGGAAGTTACCAGAAAAGAAAAAGAAGAAAGATGCAAAAGGACCCTCGGCTCTGGATCTGCCCTCCACAGAAGACTTCGACACCCTGGTCTCGGCCCCATGAAGGCTGATAACACCTGTGGCCTCGCCAAGTGCCAGGTCAGCATCATGACTCTGGGCCAGCTCTGCCCACACTGCAGCCACCACTACTGCCTAAGCCACTGCCAGCCCGAGATCCATGGCTGTGGGGAGCGGGCCCGCGCCCATGTCCGGCAGAGAATCAGCCGGGAGGGAGTGCTGTACGCCGGCAGTGGGGCCAAGGATCGGTCCCTGGACCCCACCAAGAGGGCCCAGCTGCAGAGGAGCCTGGATAAGAAGCTGGGCGAGCTGAGCAGCCAGACAAGGAGCAAAAGGAGGGAGAAGGAGATGTGAGCCGGCCCTCACACCCTCCGGCCTTGTCTTTGCAAATGCAGGTGGGGGCAAGCAGCCGTCCCTGGTGCTTTCTGTGCCTTGTAGATGCTCCAGTGACGTGACCAGGGCTGCATGGGCAAGCGAGGGGCCTGTGGGAGGGGGTGGGTCCTAGGGCCCAGCATGCCCTGCCTTGCGCTGGGATGGGGGCGGGCTGCAGTGGCTGTTCCCTGGACCTTCCTGGGAGAGAGCCACCCCAGGTCTCAGCTTTGCTGGCACCAGGGCCCCCTGGGGCTCTCCGAGGTCCCTCGCCAACTGCTTTAAGAGAACCTTTAAAGAGGTTCCGGGAGTCCGGGGTTGCCGCCTGGCCTGCGCCCGGCTCTCCGATGGCAATCACCGGCTGGGGGGTGGGGAAAGGCCGCCTTTGCCCGCCCCCCAGCTCTTCCCTGCCGCCTGGGTTGCCGGTCACCATTCTTCTTCATTCCCCTTTCGCCTCCCATCATTGCTCGTATGCAAATTAACCGCCATCTTTGTTGGCGGTTACCGCCATCTTTCTTGGCAGTTAATTTGCATATTGCCCTGATTAGCCCATGAAAAGTGTAGCGGAGGTACGGTTAATTACCCTTTTTGTCTTTTATTAGATAGGATAATCTGACAAAAATTTTACCTTGCTAGTATTAATATATTAGTGAAATTATTTTATCATTTGTACTGCTTACATAAACTAACTAAACACATATTTTGCCCACATACATATTCACAGAAAATTTTAAATTAGAACAGAAAGAAAAAAAACTAAAAAAATTATCACATTACCACATGTAAAATCTTTATATTTCCTTTAAGTCTTTTACTAAGTGATATTCAATTTATTTTTTATTTTTTATCTTCAGCCAAGGATATGTTTATTGATTTTAGAGAGAGAAGACGAAGGGGGGTGGGAGTGGGGGAGAGAGAGAGAGAGAGACAGACAGACAGATAGACACGTGAGAGAGAAACACCGATCAGTTGCCTCCTGTATGTGCCCAGACCAGGGATCAAACAAGGAATCCAGGAATCAACCCTTTTGGTGTATGAGAAGAAACTCCAACCAACTGACCCACCCAGCCAGGGCAGTCAATTCTTTTACTACTATTGCTACTGCAATTTTATATCTAATATATTTTCAAAAATTATAAACTAAGCTTCTGAATGTATTCATGAGGCCTAATAAAAAGCTCCTCCAGAGAATTTCTTCTATCTAGTATATATACATCACTTTAAAAAATGGTATCTATTTTTAAAGTTCCTTTCAGAAAGTAGTCACTTCTAAAGGAGACCCCAAACCTTCCAACTTATTTAAGCCCACTCACAAAGCCTAAACAATCACCTGTGATTCCCAAAATGAAGATTTTCCTCAGGACTTAGTTATTTATGATTATTAACACCCAAGGATAGAACAGAATGATTTTATATTCTTAATATGGATTTATCTTTCTGTGACTAAAATATTTCATGCAATTTTTTCAAGAAAGGTATGTAAAAAGATGTTTTTTATACCCCAACTTATACAAGAATCTTTCATTTTTAATTTAGTCAGACTACCTAGTAGATATTCTATGAATTGTTTTGTATGTAACATAATACTATTTTTATTTAAAAATGAAAACTAATTAAAAAATTATTTTTTTAAATTTCTTTTTGTTTGCTATGTACAGGCGAATGTCTACAAGGATAAATACCAACATAAAAGTGGTTACCTCTACAAAGTAGGATCAGCAGACCTTGAGGGAGAATATACAGAGAAGGACTTCATTTTCATATCATATACATCTATAGTATTCAAACACTTTTAAAAAAAGAATTTTATCACTTGAAAAAGTAAACTATTAGCAGAGAACGAAAACCAAAGTTTTGAACATGGGCTTACCTATTGTCATTTATTATTCTTAAAAAAAAAAATCAAAGAACAGTCTTTTTGTTGTTTTAATCTAGGAAAAAAACAATTTTTTCTAAATTATAATTCTAAATATCTGCCATCATATGTCTAAGATTGAATTCCTATTTTGGCAAGTACTCTGTGATTCTTTTTTTAAAGGCTATGAACAGCCCGGCTGGCATGGCTCAATGGTTGAGCATTGACCTATGAACCAGGAGGTTATGGTTCGATTCCCGGTCAGGGCACATGTCCGGGTTGCAGGCTCGATCCCCAGTGTGGGGCATGCAGGAGGCAGCCAATCAATGATTCTCCTCAACATTGACGTTTCTATCTCTCTCTCTCCCTTTTCCTTCCTCTCTGAAATCACTGTTGGGATTCAGACACACTGGACCTTGTTTAGCAAAGTGGATTAATATATTGAAGGAATAACTTACAACAAATATTACTTAACGAGAGGCCCAGCGTGCAAAATCGCATGGCCCCGCCCACCCATGTGCACCTCACCAGGCCTGCGCCCGCCCGCTACCACCTCTGCTGTAATCGGGGGCCTGTGGGCTGCAGGGGAGGGACTGAGAGGTGCTCCATGCATTTCATGGTGACGGTCGTTTGGTCGTTTTGGTTGTGACGACCCTGGCCTTTATTATTATGATTATGATACTTATGACAAGTGAGATAGCAGCCTTTCTTCAGTGACTAAAAAACTATTTAAGAAGTACTAAGTATATAATTTCTGAGGCTCTATTATGGGTTAAGCTGTGTATATTCAAATCTCATATACTACATCCAAACCGCAAATATCTCAGAATGTGACCTTATTTGCAAATAGGTAGATGCAGAGGTAATTAGTTTATATGAGGTCATACTGAAATAAGGGTGGTCCTCAATCCAATGTATCCTTGTAAAAGGGGAGATTTGGATACAGACACAAACAGGTATAGACAGAGTCACATGAAAATAAAGCTAGAGATCAGGGTGATGCATTTGCAAGGCAAGGAACACTCATAACTGTCAGTAAACAAACTATCAGAAACCGGAAGAGACACATGGAACAGATTCTTCCTCATACCTCACAGAAAGAACCAGTCCTGCCAACACCTTGATCTACAACTTTCAGCCTCCAGAACTATGAAACAATATGTTTCTGTTATTTAAGCCACCCAGTTAATGGCACCACTTTTATGGCAGTCCTAGGAAACTAACAGAGGCTCCTCTTACTTCTAAAATTTAGAAGTTAGATATATTTTATTGTCAAGTTCAAAAATGTATCACAAACAATAAGTTATAAAATGCATATGCAAAAAAAATTCATATACAATTCAAGTCAGTGTACAAACCTGTAGTTCAGTAAGAACTGTTTTATGCCTCTTATTACATTCGATCTTTTCCACTCGTGTTTTCAATTCTGCCAAAGTCTTATCAAATACAGCACACTGTAGTGCACGCAATTTTTCTTCCAGCAACCACTGTACAACCTAAATAAATACATATTTCTTTGTTACAAGCAAAGAAGGCATTTCAGCAAGCACTGAACAGTAAATATCCCTAAGTACTATGTAAAACTACGTTAATGAAAAAAACAGGCTGGGATCCATAACACAATGGATGCGCTGAAATCCTCTACTTCTACATATATGATATCTACTGAAAAAGAATAATATATGAAAAAAGTAGAAAATTTTCAGAGGGTGAAATTTAAAAATAATTTGAAATAGAAGTTTTATTATTTTCGTCCCATACACTCAATCATAATTTAAAGGACACAAATTAAAGAACAAGATTTTTAAATTCTAATCTGTTCCAGATATTTTTGTGAGATACTTATAGTGCACTATAAAATTCCTGTAAAACATTTCTAAATGCATACTCATAATTTCCATTTTTATCTCTTTATGGACCCATAACAAAGAGGAAACATGGTACATGTCCATGAATCATACTTGAATGACACTGTTCAAGAGAAGTAAACTCTCAATACACATAAAAGTTTTCAAAATTCTTTCACAGAGCTATCTTCATATTTCTAACAGCTCTATAAGAAACACTAAATAAACATTATTTATCTTCATATGACAAATAAAAAAAACTGAAAGAAAAAAGCTACTTTTCTTACTGCCTCACTATTCCTTTTCCTAGTATGGATATTTATATTTATCTTAGTGGAAGCATACTGGTCTAAAAACTAGATTATTTATAAGTTTTATCATTAAATTGATAAGAACTTGAAAAATTAATTTCACCTGAGTTGCATATTCCTCTCTTAAAAAAGAATTTGTCATAAACATTGGTGTAAACATTTTGAAAATATATTAAATAATGCATATTTTCAGTTCTATGTATAGTTTAGCAGATTGGGGGGATGTCAAAATCTGAACTTTACTCTCTCTCCCTAGTCCTTGGAAAGCCTTATCTCTACCATTTTTAATACTAAGTCTAAAGTACATAATAAAAATTTAGAATGTAGGGACTTATAACCATGAAACCAGCTTATTATAAAGATTAAAATAGTAACATATAAGACTAATGTTTCTATTATAATAAAGTTCAATATAGCAGAAAAGATAAAATCTGAAAACTAACAATTTTGTTACTAAAGTAAATAAAAGACATCATCAAATCTCCCTTCCAATTTGATAATTACTACCCTATCTAAAATAAATTATGTAGCTTTAAAAAGAGAAATTTTAAAATTAAATTATTAAAAATAATAAGCTCAACCACTTTAAGTTCTCTTTTTCTGTGACCTGAATATTTCAGTAAAATACAAAAAAAATTTTTCAAGACCTAGAAAAATAAAGATGGTGGTGCTTTTTACTTAATATGATTTTAAATTTATAATCTATAACACCTTTTGCAGCTTCTGGTTAATATCTCCTTTGGCTGTAATCTTTACTTGAAATTCTGCCTCATATTCTTCTTCCATGTATCGACGACGTTTGGACTGTACATTGTCCATGTCCTCAGATTTAGAACGTTTTCTTCTGGAAAATTCAACTGAGGACAAAAAGCATAATGATCTGTCAGGTGTTTTTTATTATATAACTTAATGCCAATTCTCCATCCTAAGCAAAATATTATTTCTAGCTATCACAATAGCATTATAAATCAATTATTTTATGAATTACTTTTGAGATCAGAAAAATAGACAGGTAGCTTTTAGCTTTCAACTTGAAATGATTTTCAATATGCTAAAAAAGAATTCCTAATGGCTAAGCAAGGTACACTATAAATACAGAATATCTTATCATTGAAATCTTCCTATTAAGATGGAGAATCACTTAAAAATGTGATTATGAAATGAGAAGAAATAATCTTATACTGATTCCCATTGCTAAATATTATAGTGAACACTAATCCTCTGACAACATACAGTATTCAGTCTCTGTCACAGATTTTTAACAACTGTGTGCAGCTTTAACTATTTAATTCTTCTTCCTCAGTAAATATTTCCCTCAGTAAATCTAGAAAAAAACTCCTACTTAAATATCAGCCTTAGGCAAATAACATTATAAATGTTATTCTTTTTTTAAAAAATAATAGTCATTCTTAACATATCCTAATGAATTTCAAATATATAAAAATAATAAAATTAATGACAATTATAAAAGTATATTTGGTAAAGAATAAATATTCAAAGATCTTCACTTAAAAAATTTCTATTTCAAATAGTGTTAATATTCATGAGCTCATAAGCAAATTTTAACTGGTTTCTTTTTCAATACATAAAAAGTGAACCCCTGGCCAGGTGGCTCAGTTGGTTGGAGTGTCACCCCATACACCAAAAGGTTGTGTGTTCAATTCCCAGTCAAGGCACATGCTTAGGCTGCGGGTTCAATCCTCTGTCAGGGTATGCATGGGAGGCAGGCTATCAATGTTTCTCTCTCACATTGATGTTTCTCTTTCTTTTTCTCTCTCCCAACATCCCTTACTCTCTCAAAAAAATCAATGAAAACATAATCTTGGGTGAGGATTTTGAAAAATCAAGTGAAAATATTAAATCTTTACACTTATTAAAGGCAAATGCCTTCATGTGACCACACCTACCAGTCTCCACTTTATTCTCTATCCATATCTGTGCCTATTTTTAAAATCCAGTTATACTCTATAACAGTGATGGCGAACCTTCTGAGCTCGGCGTGTCAGCATTTTGAAAAACCCTAACTTAACTCTGGTGCCGTGTCACATATAGAAATTTTTTGATATTTGCAACCATAGTAAAACAAAGATTTATATTTTTGATATTTATTTTATATATTTAAATGCCATTTAACAAAGAAAAATCAACCAAAAAAATGAATTCGCGTGTCACATCTGACACGCGTGTCATAGGTTCACCATCACTGCCATGACTTCACTTATAATCGTAACTTTAAGTCATACATAGAGAGCAGTATGAAGGGATAGTTACAGAATCCAGGTTTCCTAACTTGTAGTCCAATGATCTTCCTATAAACTTAATAATACTCAGTCCCATCATTTCCCACAAAGTTTAAGAACCTTAAGGAGACTGAGACACATACTTCCATTCACTAATATCATCCCAGAAAAAATCCTTATAGTCTCATGCTTTAAACATAAATCTAAAACAATTTCTCTCAAGATATTCAGATAGTATCTAAATATTAAGCTTAAATCTTTCTTATGGAACAAGAGAAAGTATAAATAAAATAAAACACTCAAGTTTATAAAATAATTAATCTTTTCAAAGATCCTTAGCCATCAACAAAATGATTTAACGGTGGCTTACTTAAATTGCAAAATTTTATAATCATCTCAGGGACATGAAAGTATAGTCCACAGTCTTCAAACTAGAATGAATGATTTATTATTTTTCAAACCAGTTCAGTTTTTTTGTACATGCTTACTTTTCTTAGAAGTTCTTTCATCTTCATGTATTACTACTTGCTCTTCTTCCTCTGGTTTCCTGTCCTTTTCATTATTTTGTACCTCTGTAACTAAAAAGAGAACAGAAAACATTACTTCCATTAGAATTCATAGCAGCACAAGAAAATTTACACTTTTGGTATAAATATTCAGTTAATAATTGTTTATGAAATCAGTCTCAAGATATGAAATTTTAGGAATTAAAAGGGAGCATGGCCGAAACCCGTTTGGCTCAGTGGATAGAGCGTCGGCCTGCGGACTGAAAGGTCCCAGGTTTGATTCCGGTCAAGGGCATGTACCTGGGTTGCGGGCACATCCCCAGTAGGAGATGTGCAGGAGGCGGCTGATCGATGTTTCTCTCTCATTGATGTTTCTAGCTCTCTATCTCTCTCCCTTCCTCTCTGTAAAAAATCAATAAAATATATTTATAAAAAAAAAAAAAAAAGGGGGGAGCATGAACTGGTAGAAATGAATGACCAAGTCCACTTTCAAGTGTTCCTACAAATTCATAATAATCTCTTAACATGGACAAAAATTAATAGTACAGATTTTTTAAAATAAATACTCCTACTTAGTAATTTACTGTCAGCCACAGATTACTAAAATATATTAAGAACTACCATAAAGCAATTTGACTCCTTACATTTAATTACTAAAACTAAAAAAGGGATTGTGACTATTACAAACCACTGGCAAACTACTGCCAAAACACCTAATTATTTTGACCAGACAGGTTGAACCATTGTTATTCAATGGTTATGGGACAGTTCATAAAGGAGGAATGGAAAAGCTATCCTAAAAATAATGATCATTTTACTTAAAAGTAATAGCTACTTTGATACCAGTCCCAACAACCAAGCTAGGTGCTTAACATATATTATTTCATATACTCGGTATAAGTTTACACTATACACAGTATTTTTGTCATCATATAGATGAGGAAAGTAAAGTTCAGATAAGTTGTTTTCACTAGAGGCATTTAAAATACAACAATTAAAGAGTGCTACCCAAAAATATTGTTAAAAGTGTCTATACAATTTCACTGCTATAACAAAATCCCAGAGGTACCACAAATAGCCTTTGGCCAATCAACCTATATCTCATCTACTAACCAATCATTAAATGGGAGAGAAGAACAAATCACAAATATGTTTGGGCTTCCATTTTATCCCCCTTTACATCACTGCAACTGGCTCTCCAGTCGCTTCAATAAGGCATGCTGTTTAATCATATTCTGCTACCAAAATAAAATAAGCAATCACAAGGTGCACTATATAAAAATTTTGATATGGCATTTCTTATGCAAACACCAGGGTTTTCATCCCAACAGCGCTGTGGGTAGAAAGTCAAGTTAAAAAAACTTAAAAGACCTTTTAAGCGAAAATAGGCAAAGACCAGAATCACTGATGAACCTATTAAAGCTCTTAAAAATACAATTTTCACACTAATAAAACAATAAAGTTGTAAAATGTGACTATAGTAAAACAAAGCAAAATAAAACAAAAAAGCTAGCACAGTATATATATAGATTAAAACTATTTTTAAACTTTAAAATAAATGAGTATTAGAATATTAACTTTCCATTTATCATCCTATGCTCATTAGAAATGTTTTTAAAATCTCATGCCTCAATCCTAGTTTCAATTAAATGAAAATTTATTTTGCTCCCTTGTGGCTACAAACTCATTACAAAGCATTTTTTTCTATATACAGTAGTATTTAGTTTTCCAAATATTTCTGATTTTAATACTGAAAATGATGACTCCTGAGTTTCCTAGTCCCCAGTTTCCAGACACACGGGTAAACTGGGTTGTTTGAAATGAAGGTTTATAGTCTTTGTTGAGCAAATCATCTTATCACCCAAAGAACAAAATTAGCCATGGCTCCAATTAGGGCAAGCCAGATAATCTAGAACACAGCAGAGGCAATTGGCCTGGTTTAGTCTACCTCTTTTATGCATATATTAGCTCCCTCTTGTCTTACAGGTATATCAAGCTTAGCTTAAGATTCTTTCATTTTACTCAAAACCTCCTCCTATCACCTAATTTCCATTTTCCATATATGCTTAGAAGATATGCCTGGATTCTCACCCCTTAAAATACTCATTAGGATTTTAGAATAGACACATAGAATTAAAATTTATACTCTAGTTTTATTTAAAGAACTCTGGATAAGAATAATGGTATTAACAGATTCTACAGAAAGGAGTAAGGCCCTATATTTCTTTAATTTTTTTGTTCCTAAAGTCTCAAGAGAATCTGAGTGCACCTCCTTCAACCCAGGATAATAAACAAAGGCCCATGTACATACATTTTTATATATAATTTAAAGCAGTTCCTGAGACTTCTGAAACTCATCTGAATGCTTAAAACTGCCTTCATTCACAGATAGTTTCTGCTGTAATTCTTCTGGTATTGAGTATAGCCTCATTACAAACTGCCATGTTTTAATAAACAGTTCTAAGTGTGGAATTCTTTCAATCAGACTAGACCTGCAATTTTCAACCAGTGTGGTGCAGCATACTGGTGTACTACAAGAATTTTTAAAACATGCAATGCCTGCCCTGGCTGGTACTTCACAATGGTTAGAGAGTAAACACACGGACAGGAGGGTCCCAGGTTTGATTCACAGTTAATGGCACATACCTGGGTTGCAGGTTCAATCCCCACCCCACAGTTGGCATTCGAGAGACAACCAATCTATGTGTCTCACATATCGATATTTCTCCCTCCCTCTCTCCCTCCCCTTCCTCCCTCCCTTTCTCCCACTATAAAAATCAATGGGGAAAATATCCTTGGGTGAGGATTAAAACTCTCAGCAAACTGGAAATAGAGGGATCATATCTTAACATAATAAAGGCCATATATGACAAACCTACAACCAACATCATACTCAATAGGCAAAAACTAAAGCCATTTCCCCTAGGAACAGGAACAAGACAGGGATGCCTACTTTCACCACTCTTATTCAACATAGTGCTGGAAGTGCTAGCCACAGAGATCAGACAAGAAGAAATAAAAGGCATCCAAATTGGAAAGGAGGAAGTAAATCTCTCATTATTCATGATACAATATCAATATCAGATACATGATATTGTACATAGAAAACCCTAAAGATTCCACCAAAAAACTCCTAGATTTAAATGAATTTGGCAATGTAGCTGGATACAAAATTAACACCCAGAAATCAACGGCATTTTTATACCCCAATAATGAATTCTCAGAAAGAGAAATTAAACAAACAATCCCAATTACCATTGGAACAAAAAAATTAATAAGTTTAGGAATAAATTTAACCAACAAGGTAAAAGACTTGTACTCGGAAAACTACAGGACATTGAAAAAAAGACATAGAGGAAGATATAAACAAGTGGAAGAATATACCATGTTCATGGATTGGTAGAATTAACATCATTAAAATGTTGCTACCCAAAGCAATCGATTCAATGTAATCCCTATTAAATTACCAATGGCATAATTCACATCTAGAACACACATTCCAAAAGTTTATATGGAACCAAAAAAGACTCTGAATAGCCGCAGCAATCTTGAGAAAGAAAAAGAAAGTTGGGAGGATCACAATACCAGATATCAAGTTATACTACAAAGCCACTGTAATTAAAACAGGATGGTACTGACATAAGAACAAAGAGATCAGTGGAACAGAACAGAGACCTCAAAAAACAACATTAGACAAAAGAGGCAAGAGCATACAATGGAGTCAAGATAGTCTCTTCAATAAATGGTGTTGGGAAAATTGGACAGACACATGCAAAAAAATTAAACTAGATCACCAACTTACACCATACACAAGAAAAAAAATCAAAATGGATAAAAGACTGAATGTGAAACCATAAAAATCCTAGAAGAAACCATAGGCACCAAAATCTCAGACATCTCTTGTAGCAATATATTTGAGGATACATCTAGGGGCAACGGAAACTAAGGAGAAAATAAACAAATGGGACTACATCAAAATAAAAAGCTTCTTCATAGCAAAAGAAACCATCAACAAAAAGCAAAGCGAGCCTACTGTATGGGAGAACATATTTGGCGTGATACATCTGATAAAGGGTTAATATCCAAAACATATAAGGAACTCAGACAATTTAACAAAGGGAAGACAAGCAATACAATTAAAAAGTGGGCATAAGACCTAAATAGACATTTCTCTAAAGAAGACATACAGGTGGCCAAGAGACATGAAAAAATGCTCAAAATCACTAATCATCAGAGAGGTGCAAATTAAAATGACAATGAGGTATCACCTCATTCCTCTCAGAATGGCTACCATCAATAAATCAATAAATGACAAGTGCTGGAGAGGATGTAGAGAAAAGGGAACACTAATACACTGCTGGTAGGAATGCAGACTGGTGCAGCCATTATGGAAAACAGTATGGAGTTCCCTCAAAAAATTAAATATGGAACTGCCATTTGACCCAGTGATCCCACTTCTAGGAATACAACCTAAGAAACCCAAACCGCCAATCAGAAAGAATGTATGAACCCCTATGTTCATAGGAGTATAATTTATAATAGCTAAGATCTTGAAACAGCCCAAGTACCTATCAGTAGATGAGTAGATAAAAAAGCTGTGGTACATTTATAACATGGAATACTATGCAGCTATAAAAAAGAAGAATCTCTGAGCCTTTGAGACAGCATGGAGGGACCTGGAGAGTATTATGCTAAGCGAAATAAGCCAGTCAGAGAAAGGTAAGTATCACAAGATTGCACTCATATGTGGAATCTAATGAATAAAAACTGTTGAACAAAATAGATCCAGAGACATAGAAGCATGAAACAGACTGTTGAATCTCAGAAGGAAGGTGAGGTGGGAAGAGATCAACCAAAGAATTTGTATGCATATCGCTATCAGAATGCTTTAGCCTTAGAATGAAGGTCCTCCTTGATATACATCTCTTATAGCACTAATTATTCATTCACTCCACAAATATTTACTGAGCCCTTACTATAACCCAAGAAGTATTTTGACTTGATGGTAGGGGCTTAGCATAGGAATAAAAGCTGTGAAGATGAATTCTAGATCTATTCTTAAGGTAAAGCCAACAGGACATCCTGATGGACTGGATATGGGATATGAAGGGGAAAAAATGGCTCCAAGGTTTCTGGGCTGAGCAGTAAGGACAAAGCTGCCAAAAAAAAGGAATAATCTTCCTTAAAATCCTGTTATACAGATAGTGAAAGGCAAGTATTTTCCTGAATACATCTTATATTCTCCTGTAAAAACCCAGAATACCAATTTAACATAATTACTGTATTCATAGCCTTGTATTTAATGCCCTGTGTTTTAATTATTGTCTACAACCTGAGGGAAAATACTAAATTTTATCTTTAAATTCCCAGAATCATAAAGAGCCTGGCTCTTTATGAATAAATGCTCTTTAGAAATAAAGTCATCATTTAATAATAAAAAATCTCTACCTCCAAAACCTGATAAAATATATTGGGTGGGAGAGAGGAATCTTCTGTGTCTCTGAGTTCTGCCTCATGTTTTCATTCTTTGAACAAACTAGGACCCAGAGGCTGTGTTTCATACTATAAAGTCACTCCTCTCAGAAAGCTCTAACACAGTGGTTCTCAACCTGTGGGTCAAGACCCCTTTGGGGATCGAACGACCCTTTCACAGGGGTCACCTAAGACCATCGGAAAACACATATATAATTACATATTGTTTTTGTGATTAATCACTATGCTTTAATTATATTCAATTTGTAACAATGAAATTGGGGGTCACCACAACATGAGGAACTGTATTAAAGGATCGCGGCATTAGGAAGGTTGAGAACCACTGCTCTAACAGCCTTGGGCAGGTATTAATAAAAGTCATTTAAACATTTTAAAGAGCACACTAACAGAATGCAAGAGAACACAAAGGGAGCAACTTCTGAAAGGAACTAAGAAAGTTTCATATATGAATATTTGAGTTTGACCACAAAAGCAAGTGGGATTTTTCTCATCTCTCCTTTCGCAGTGGTTCTTAACCTTGGCTGCACATGAGAATCACCTGGGAATCTTTTTAAAATCCTGATTTCTGGGCCTCATCCTCCGGAAATTCTGTTTCTTTGTTACTAATGTTGTGGCCTCACCCCATAACAAAGAAACAGAATTTCTGGAGGATGAGGCCCAGAAATCAGGATTTTAAAAAGATTCCCAGGTGATTCTAATGTGCAGCCAAGATTGAGAACCACTGTTCTAGAGATTTAGGTTATAGAGATCATTCAAAAGATGAGAGGGAAGAAAGAAGATTGGGTAAAATCAAGAGGGCTGTGGAAACAAATGGATGAGGTCTTCATCAAATAGATAACCAGGTTTCAAGGTTTCTGAAAACTTCCAGCAATGATGGTGTCATTCCCCAAAGAATATTAAAAGAAATCAGATGTTAATGGGAAAATTAATTGTAAAATGTGATTTGTAACACTTGAAGCAAATAAGCTAGTAGGTTTTTGTATTCTAAGTTATTTGGTTGCTAAGTGATAGCAAGAACAATTCCTAGGACTTTGATCAAGTATGCACTGACTTGAAATTGTTGTCTCATAGTGTTATTTTCTCTCTCTTCCTAAACATAAATACTTTAAGGCAGCGGTTCTCAACCTGTGGGTCGCGACCGCTTTGGGGGTCGCCTAAGACCATTGGAAAATACATATATAATTACATATTGTTTTTGTGATTAATCACTATGCTTTAATTATGTTCAATTTGTAACAATGAAAATACATCCTGCATATCAGATATTTACATTACGATTCATAACAGTAGCAAAATTACAGTTATGAAGTAGCAACGAAAATAATTTTATGGTTGGGGTTCACCACAACATGAGGAACTGTATTAAAGGGTCTCGGCGTTAGGAAGGTTGAGAACCACTGCCTTAAGGGCAAGGTGCATATTTTCTTCTTTAGCTCCCTTAGCGCTTCACACAATGCCATTCAAAGTGGATACTTTGTAATTCTGAATTCTGTGAAGTTAAGAATCTATCAAGTTAAAGATCATTCTAGCCATCATCATTCTCAACTTTCTCTGCAACTAAAAGAAATATGTCTTCATAAGAATGTTTTATTTAAGTTTATTAAAGCTAATCAAAAAATTAATGTAAGTAATATGCTAACCTGGAGAGCATGGCTCATTTTGTGACATAGCTTCAGACTCATCTTTTTCACCTGAAATATCCTCTTCATCAGAGAGAACCAAAAAGGCTTCTTTTGGCAAACTCTCACTACTTTCTTGTTTAGATGGTGAACCAAAAGAACCTTCCATCTTGTCTTCCAAATCCGGATTTGTTTCATCAATTGGAAGAAGACAAGATTTAGAAAAGCAAGTAAGTTCATCTTCAGCAGGTGCAAGCTTTTCCAAAATAGGAATAATTTCATCTGTCTCCATAGAATCTGTACTTTCTAATATATTCTCATTTTTGTCATCTTTTATAACATTTTCACTAATGGATTCTGCAAGGTCTGCAGAATTTTCACCTTCATTCTTTTCACTTTGGTCAATGTCCATACTGCTAGATATATCCTGCTCTCCAAGAACAGGTTCTGTGACAGCATCTTCCTCTACTTTTTCATTTTCAGGAGGTGGAGCAGAACAAACAATTGTATCAACTGCTTCTAGAGTTTCTTCAGCAGCATCAATATTACCATCAGCTTTTTTACTCTCATCAAATGAGAAAATTTCATCTAACTTTTCATCATCCCCATTTTGTTCAAGAAAATCATCACCTTTATTGCTACTAGGTTCTGTATTGTCAGTGTCAGGAACTGGCACACAAACTGGTACAGAACTCGATTCAAAAGTGGAATCAAAGGCTGATTCAGAAGTTGGTTTATCAGCAATTGGTTCATCAGAGATCAGATCACCAGAGGCCAGATCACCAGAGATCTGATCACCAGAGGTCAGATCACCGCAGGCTGGACCACCAGAAGCCAGATCACCAGAAGCTGCATCATCAGAGGCCCGTGTTCCAGAGGCCAGATCATCAGAAGCTGAATTCTCAGAGACTGGATCACTGGAGACTGGTTCACTGGAGACCAGTTCACCAGGGACTGGTTCACTGGAGACCAGTTCAACAGAGACTGGCTCCCCAGACATCAGTTCACCAGCGATCAGCTCACTGGAGTGTTGACTGGCAGCCATATCTGAGTTTTCAGTAGAGACCCGCTCATCCGAGACGGGTTCAGCAGAGGCCGGATCACCAGAGGCGGGATCACTAGAGGCAGGCTCATCAGAGGTTGGAATACCAGAAGTGGCATCACCAGAGGTGGGATCACTAGAGGTGGGATCACCAGAGGTTAATACTTCAGAGGCCGTATCTCCAGAGGCTGGCAGATCTCCAGTAGCCAAATCACCTGAAGGTGGATCACCAGGAGCTGGTTCAGTGGTCACTTTAGAGTTTAGTTCAGGAGTTTTACTACTAGGAGACAAAGATTCATGCTTTAAATCATCATCTGAATTGTTTTTTACATTAACATTTAAGATACAAGGTGTTTCTTTCCATTCTGATTTACTTTTCTCAGGATTAAAACAAAGTTCTTCAAGGCCATTCACCTCATCCTTGTCATTAATATAATCCATATTCTCCAAAGGTGAGGTTGGGTCCACATCTCCATTTTCATGATTGCCATTTAACAGCTTGACATCAGTTTTCAACAATTCTTCTTTGACCTTGTACACTGCATCCAGTTGTTGACGATCACTCACTCTCATTGTTTTTCGAGCCTTAAAGACTTTTTTCTGAGGTTCTTCTATACTATCCATTTTGAATCTTTAAAAAGAAAGAGAGAGACAAAGTTTAATAATTGAAACGAGAACCAAGATGGCATAGGTAAACGCCAATACTCACCGCCTCCCACAACCACATCAAAATTACAACTAAAATACAGAATCGCCATCATTCAGAACCACCTGAAATCTGGCTGAATGGAAGTCCTACAACTAGAGAAGTAAAGAAGAATGTACACTGAGATTGGTAGGAGAGGCGGAGGTATGGACCGGGCTGGTCAAACACCCACATGTGACATTTTTGTCATCGGAGAGATATCTAAACAGTGGAGGTCTCCTGTGAGGAGTAAGGGGTCCCAGCCCCACACCAGATCCCAACCCAGGGTTGCAGGGCTAGAAAGAGAAGTCTTCGTAACTTTGGGCTATAAAGACCAGCAGGGAATGTGGCTGCATAACATGGAGGCTGCTGGAGACCCAGACAGTTCCTCTTAAAGGGCTGGCAGATGGACTTACTCGGACTCACTACCTCTGAGGACCAGCACTAGCATAAAGGCTTGAGGGGATCCAGAGAAAAGTGGGGAGGAAATGGATTGTCTGGCATAGGAGCAACAACTTGGGGGCAGTTTTCTGCCAAACAGGGGTTCTTGCAGGGTCACTGTTCCTACACTGAGACCTCCTTCATCACAGAGTTGACTGGCAGTCATATCTGAGTTTCCATCAGACAGGCTCACACTGTTCACTCCACCCTGGTAATTCCCTGAGACCCCACACCACCACATTTGCAGCCTCACTCAAGTTGTTTACAGAGGCTTTTCCATATGAGTGGCCTGTCCTGGCTCAGGCATCAAACTTAGCTAAAACCTCTCAAATAAGCAGCAGCAGACATCAGCGTGCCACTGACCTATCAATAAGAAGCCTAAGACCAACACTAGCAGCAGCTTCCCTTGCTTCACAGCTTGGCCTTGCCTGGGTACTTCCAAGCCCACCACAAGTAGCAGCCATTGGCAGATCACTCTGCAGTTCCTGACAGGTGGCCCTAGGCAGTGGCTAATTTTGCAACTCCCTGGAGGTCCTGGTAGACAGCTTCAGATTTCACCAGATTATAACTCTAAACATCCATGAGCAACAAACTCAAGAGGCAGAATCAATGAGCACCAAAGCCCCACTAACGCAAGTCCTGCTCCATAGGGGTGTCCCATACACAACAGCTCTTCAGCTGTAGTCGCAGCTGGTCCTCACAGCCAATTGGCCTGGAGGTCAACTCCTCCCAGTGATGCCAACAGCAATCAAGGCTCAACTACAACAAGACTATGCACACAGCCCACACAGGGGCACACTGAGAGTACCCAGCTCAAGTGACTGGGGAGGCTGAGCCACTGGGTCCTATAGGAAACCTACTTTAAAAGGACGCACAACCAATTCCATTAGACATAGCAGCTCTACCTAATCTAGAGAAACAAACATAGGGAAGCAGCTAAAATGTGGAGACAAAGAACTAACTATGTTATAAATGAAAGAACAGAAGAAATCTCCAGAAAAAGAACTAAATGAAATGGAAGCAAGCAAACTACTAGATACAGAGTTCAAAACAATGCTTATAAGGATGCTCAAGGATCTTCATGAGAACGTCAAAGACATGAAAAAGGATCAGTCAGGAATTGAGCATATACTAACTGAGCATAGTATTTAATTGAGCATATAAAGAATAATGTACAGAAGATGGCGGCATAGGTAAACACCGGAGACTGCTGCCGCAAACAACCACTTCAAAAATACAACTAAAAGACGGAACGGACATCACCCAGAACCACAGGAAGGCTGGCTGAGGAGAGACTCTTCAACTAGAAGGAAAAATAACAGCACACCGAGGCTCAGAGGAGGCGCAGTGTGGAAAAAACTCAGGTGCGGAGGTGCGCGCGCAAAGCGGGCTGGTGGCTGAGAGCGCGGTTGTCGTTTTCGGTCAGGGGGGAGTCTCAGACTCTGAGCTCCAGATACGGGCGAATCGCTGGGGACTCGGACCCAAACGGGAGAAGCGGGAGTGTCTGGCATCAGTTGGAAGGCAGCTTTCCCTCCGAGGTTTGCAGCGGTTCCGGGGGTTCTGAGAAGCAGAGCCTCTGGGAACAGGACTGAGGGCACCATAACGGCTCCCTCCGCCCGCCCTGCCCTGTTGATCCCGCCCCGCCCAAGCCCTGCGCAGAGCCATTTGCCAGATCGCCTCAGGCAAAGGCTAGATTAGCACCTCCCCAGAGGACAGAAGTTTTCCGCGGCAGACACAGCTGATTCACACAGCCAGTCGGCCTGGTGGTCAAATCCCTCTAGTATTAACTACAACAATCAAGGCTCAACTAGAACAAGACTGCGCACAAAGACCACTAGGGGGTGCACCAAGAAAGCATAAAAAATGCGGAGACAAAAAAACATGACAGAAATGGAGGATATAGAGCTAAAAATCGCAATTTTGAGGGCTTGCAAAAATGTGCTAGAAGCTGTCAATAAACTTGAGGAGAGAGTCACGAAAACTAATGAGACCCTCGATGCTATGATAAAGAACCAACTAGAAATTAAGCATACACGGACTGAAATAAAGAATATTATACAGACACCCAATAGCAGACCAGAGGAGCGCAAGAATCAAGTCAAAGATTTGAAATGCGAAGAAGCAAAAAACACCCAACCGGAAAAGCAAAATGAAAAAAGAATCCGAAAATACGAAGATAGTGTAAGGAGCCTCTGGGACAGCTTCAAGCGTACCAACATCAGAATAATAGGGGTGCCAGAAGATGAGAGACAGCAAGATATTGAAAACCTATTTGAAGAAATAATGGCAGAAAACTTCCCCCACCTGGTGAAAGAAATGGACTTACAGGTCCAAGAAGCGCAGAGAACCCCAAACAAAAGGAATCCAAAGAGGACCACACCAAGACACATCATAATTAAAATGCCAAGAGCAAAAGACAAAGAGAGAATCTTAAAAGCAGCAAGAGAAAGAGACTCAATTACCTACAAGGGAATACCCATACGACTGTCAGCTGATTTCTCAACAGAAACTTGGCAGGCCAGAAGGGAATGGCAAGAAATATTCAAAGTGCTGAATACCAAGAACCTACAACCAAGAATACTTTATCCAGCAAAGCTATCATTCAGAATTGAAGGTCAGATAAAGAGCTTCACAGATAAGGAAAAGCTAAAGGAGTTCATCACCACTAAACCAGTATTATACGAAATGCTGAAAGGTATCCTTTAAGAAGAGGAAGAAGAAAAAGGTAAAGATACAAATTGTGAACAACAAACATGCATCTATCAACAAGTGAATCTAAGAACCAAGTGAATAAATAATCTGATGTACAGAATGAACTGGTGATTATAATGAATCAGGGACATAGAAAGGGAATGGACTGACTATTCTTGGGGGGGAAAGGGGAATGGGAGATGCGGGAAGAAACTGGACAAAAATCGTGCACCTATGGATGAGGACAGTGGGTGGGGAGTGAGGGCGGAGGGTGGGGTGGGAACTGGGAGGAGGGGAGTTATGGGGGAAAATAATGTACAGGGATTCAACAGTAGAGGATGCCAAGAATCAAGTCAGCGATTTGAAATATGAGGAAGCAAAAAACACCCAATCAGAAAAGCAATAAGAAAAAAAAAGAATCCAAAAATATGAAGATAGTGTAAGGAGCCTCTGGGACAACTTTAAACATACCAAAATTCGCATTATAGTGATGCCAGAAGGAGAAGAGAGATAGCAAGATATTGAAAACTTATTTGAAGAAATGATGACAGAAAACTTCCCCTACCTGGTGAAAGAAATAGACTTACAAGTCCAGGAAGCACAGAGTCCCAAACAAGAGGAACCCAAAGAGGACCACACAAAGAAACATCATAATTAAAATGCCAAAGGTTAAATAAAAAGAGAAAATCCTAAAGAGATTCAATCTCAAACAGCAAGAGAAATGCAGTCAGTTACCTATAAGACAGCACCCATATGAATGTCAGCTGAATTCTCAATAGAAACTTGGAGGCCAGAAAGGTGTGACAAGAAATATTCACATGATGAAAAGCAAGGACCTACAATCAAGATTTCTCTACCCAGCAAATCTATTATTTAGAATTATAAGTCAGATAAAGAACTTCACAGACAAGAAAAAGCTAAAGGGTTCATCATCACCAAACTAGTAATTCATGAAATGTTGAAGGGTATTCTTTACGAAGAGGAGAAAGAAGAACAAGAACAAAAATATGAACAGTAAAAACATACCTATCAACAATTTAATCTAAAAGTCAAAATAGATGAACAAGGAATCAAATTAACAAAATAAACTGATTAATAAAATAGAACCAGAGGCATGGAAACATGAAACTGACTGACAAATCTCAGAGAGAAAGAGGTGGGGCGGGGTGGGTGGCGGGGGAGATTAACCAAAGAATGTATATGCATTACCTATGGACACAGACAATCCGGTGTTGAGGCCTGTGGCATAACCAGGTTGAGCAGGGCAATGGGAGACATCCGTAATACTCTCAACAATAAATTATTTTTAATTGCGACAGAAACTACCTAATTATAGACTCACTACAAATTGATCTTACAAGCATCATTTCATGTACTTTTGAAATAATGATCTATAGAAAGCATAATAATCCTTGCTGCATATTAATTTTTATATTCATTAGATTTGTGTATTATAACATTGAGAACAGGTACAGTCCACAGAAGATCAATTACTGGAAGTATTAGAAAAAAGTTGACTAACTTCTAGTTTTCATTCTCAATAAGCTAATGGGTTTAGAAAGTCCGATGGTAAATATAAGCTTAAGAAAGTAGATGGAAGTAAAAAAATTAGACGGAGAAAGAAAAAGAAAACTGTAAGAGAGTGAAAACAATAGGGGAATGGGAAAGAGGTATAGAGATAAGAAACAATGGAGGGAAATTCAAGAAACACATAGATTGTATTTACAACCAAGCATATCTAGATTAACAGAACTAAAAATATAGCAGTAAGAGACTGCCATTAAGAAAGTGAAAAAGCAACTTATACAATAGAG